TGTTTGTACATGGGCAGAATAGTGGCTTTGTATGTTGTGTGTGTGTGTGTGTGTGTGTGTTGACAGGGTTTCTGGGTGTTGTGCCAGCTTCTGGAGCAGGGCTCCCTGATGTCTCCATTCACAGAGTCGGTAGATCGCTGCTGTTTTTCACTGACTCTTTGTTAATCCTGTTAAACGGCGACGTCAGCACCTGGTAAAGATCATTTTTAGCAGATTTACACTGAGGTTAGAGAGCTAGGGAGGACATTATGTCAGTGAGAGTAGTACAGAGAAGAAGTACAAACAAGTGTATGCGCCTTGCACTGATGAAGCTGTTTAAAGGGTCAGTTCACCCAAATAATCAAACATCATGTTCCTGTTTTCCTCTGGTGGTTTTCAGCCATATAAGTTTATACAGAGTTTAGGATTTGGACTCCTGTTGTCTGCAAGTGAACACATCAGTGGAAGAAAGTCTAATAAGTCTGAACATGAAACAGCTGGAACAAAAGTGGTTGAGAAGCAAAGACCCGGTACTGTCACTGCCGCTGCCACCAGCAGTAATATGACCGTTATGACTCATCTTGTTTAACACTGCTACAGTGGCACTACTACAAAATATATAGCTCAGTATTTTTTTAAATCATCTTATTTATTCAAGTGTTTCGAATGCACAGTATGAGACACACACAAGACAATCAATAGAAAATCAGGTTAGAGGAAGGAAAGCTACAAAATGTGACTCAATGTGAAATCTCAAATCCAAATGTGCCCAAACTGCACCGAGGCAGCAGCAGGGTAAGTGCTGAGGCGGGTCTTCTGGTCGTACGGGTGGACTGAGTTCAAAGACACAGTGGAGATGCATAATGTGTGTGTTTGCACGTGTGAAACGCTGTCTCGTTCTTTGCTGGTGCGTATGGTTTCACTCCCACTCACTGGTGTTTTTGGTGCCTTTCAATGCATGGCAACACGTTCTGCCTCCCACACATACACTGAGTGCAGACTGCTGCTTTCTCACCATGTTGTCGCCCTGCAGCCTCCTCAAGATACGAAGGCGCACAAAGACGCCAGCTGGGTTTAGTCAGGCTTTGCTCATCTTGTCTGTGCTGAGAGGATAAAACTAGGTTAGTCTAATATATCATAATAATAGATATAATATCAAGCCAGTATGAGCTTTTTAATATAGATTCACACACAAACTACAGCCATTAATATTCCTACATGGCCACAGATAAAGAAAAACTACAATGCATATATGTTTTCTTTAAAAATATAAAGTAAACTATATTATGTCATAATGATTCAAATAAAAGGCCAATGAAAGCCAGAACCAGTGAGCCTCTTCCTGGGCTGTGCACCCCCTGACAAAGAGGGGTCAAAGACACATAACAGTTGGATTAGGAAACGATGAACCTGTGCATTTTGTTACATTCCTCATCGATGTCTTGTTTAATGAGGATCACAAAACCAAAACATGGGTTGTTTTCCGGTTTACCACGGTGTCCTCTCTCCTCCTCTGAGGTGTCAGTCTGTTTGCAGCTCCTCGCTGTCTCTCCGTGTCCGTCTGTGTGGAGGCAGGAGGCTGCTGTTTATCTGCTGCTGGTGACAGTGATGTGTTGCATCCAGTCCTTCTGCACCCACACCTGACGTGGCTCCACCACTAGGGGGCGTCGCTCTGCCACATTAAACTACTTGTTTTCCTCTAAAGAGCCTGTTGGAGGTAAATGTTATAGATGTTATAGAACAGGAGTGAGTCTGGATTGTAGCCAAAAGAAACGGCAGTTTTTATTGTGTGTTACTGTCATTTATTCACTGGCTTATTTCATTATTTAGACTAAAACAAATCCATTTATTTGTTTGACACATGCTGCAGAAGGGGCCAAAACTAGTGAATTCACTGATAATATGTCCGTTTAGAGATCTGTTCTCTTATTTCTACCACTCAACTGGCCATAGAGGGAGACATGCTGTGTATTTCACTCTGTTGGATAAAGGTTTCCAGTAAGCTTAGCTCATTTCACTTGGAAAGCTGCGGAGCTTCACAAGCTGCTCTGGTCGCTAAGCCTCTTAGGAATCACGAGCACAGCAGATGTAGGGAGGATGCTCCCGGGCTGTGCCACCAAACATACCCAGACATTATCTGGCGCTTCGGTTTGGCAGTTCAAGACCCAAACATCAGTAGAAACAGGTGAGCTGTGAGGGAGATGGAGTGCGCAGGGAGGCTCCAACCACTCTGAACCGCCAGACATCTAGTCCATCCCCGTCCGAAGGCACAGCCATGCTCCCTCGGGAGGCGGGGAAGCAGAAGTCCCGCCGTGTGGCGGACTCGGTTTGCGGAGGAGACTGCCCCTCGGTCCCACCGCAGCGTTTGAAGAACTGGGACTTGCCTCTGCAGGTGAAGCGTCAACGGTCCGGCTCCGCACCTGAGCGCAAGGTGAACTGCGTCCTGGTTGGAGACGGAGCGGTGGGAAAGACCAGCCTCATCGTCAGCTACACCACCAATGGATACCTGGCAGAATATGTTCCGACTGCGTTTGACAACTTTACCGGTAATGCTTTGACATCAGCGTAGCTACACGCACAGGTTTTACGCACACATGGAAGTCAAAGCTTTAGTCGTCTTGTAGTCAGTCTTATGCCAAGCTGGCTGTTAAAAAGCCTGTAAATGTGGCCGTGTGTGCTCTGGCATCTTGTGCCTTAGAAGACTGATGAAGTGCAAAACATACAGTGAGCTGTCTTTTAATCTTCCCAGTGATGGTTGTGGTTGACGGGAAACCAGTGACACTACAGCTCTGTGACACGGCTGGACAGGTGAGCTGCACTTTCTCTCCACCAGGGACTCAGTATTATGGTAAACACAAACCAATATCCCTGCACACGTGGCAGCACTTGAAAATCTAACCTCTCGGCTACACGTGTGTCTGATAGAAATGGGGGCTGTTTGACGGATCGATCAACGTAAGTCATCACCAATCAGTACCTATTAGTCAGTAACTGGCCCTGCACCTGAACACTGGGAGCTCTTACAGTGTTTGTGGCCCCTACAACCCGCTTTAGGTTTTAGTTTAAAGTGCCCTTCAGTCGCATATAGCCGGTTTCTGCAGCCCCACAGTTAAACAGCGCCCCCTGCAGGCGCTGAGTTGTATTTCAGAAGCTTTGCCCTCTGTTTCCCTGCACCTCACCGCCCTCTTTTGCTCAAATGCTTGGCTCTGCACACATTTCTTTCCCTCATAGCTTCAGATTTCCTGATAGCAGTCTCCCTTCAGTGCTCTGTACCCAAGTAGATGTAACGTCTTTTTGGATGCAACCTAAAAGAAGGCAGATTCATCCAAAGTACAACAACATCTCTGCAGACAGCAGACTCTGGATAATCCACACACCTCACTGCCAGCAGGTTTTACTGAGACTGTTTCTTTGGTTGAAGATAGTTTTGCCAAACAAATGTTAAAGAAATCTGAGGAACAGAGACGAACTTGGGCAAATTAAACCAAAACAAATCCACCAGAGTTAAGTGAGAACTGTGTGATGTTAGGGTCAGTTTGTCAAAGACTTTTTTTTTTAAATTGGGCTTAAGAACAAATGACCATTTTTATTGTCAGGACTGTGCAGATCAGCTGTGATGTTACAGCTCAAACTGTTTTGACGTGTTTCAATTTTGTTGTTTCCATTAGAGAAAAATATGAATCCGACTCAGCATCACAAAAAAATCCACCTTAAAGCAGTGGGAACGTCAGATACATGTTCATAGTTAAGGTGGACAGATGTTCTAGATTTCTCTTATTGCCTACAATCAAGGCAGGACCAAAACCAACTATGAGATGATTCTACTGTCGGGTGTAAAACTCCATTTTATCCAAACAATTTAAATAATTACAATAAATTCTTCACTAGAGCATCAAACAAGGATGAATCCATCACTGATAATAGTCACTAACAAATGCACTACTTGATAGAGTAATATCTGCTGTTTAAGATGAGACTTTAAAAAATTAATACAACTATATAAAGTCAAAGATGACGGAGGGAAGCACGAAAGTTCTGAGTAATGGAAACATAATTAGTTTTTGTCTTTCTATGGGATTTTTTGTGAATAAGAAAAACAGAACAACGTCAGCATCGTCCTCAAACAACCACAATGGCCTTTTTCTCTGTCTCACCAAGGACGAGCTGGAGCTCCTCCGCCCGCTTTGCTATAAGAACGCAGATGTCTTCCTCCTCTGCTACAGCGTGGTCCGCCCCTGCTCTTTCCGCAACCTGACCGACAGGTGGGTTCCTGGGATCCGTCAGCACTGCCCAGGTGCTCCCCTGGTCCTGGTTGGCACCCAGCTGGACCTGAGGGAGGACGTCCAGGTGCTCATCCAGCTGGCACAGAACCAGCAGCGTCCTGTGGGCACAGAGGAGGGCCAGCGACTCGCCCAGGAGCTTGGGGCGGTGAGTTTTGCAGAGTGCTCAGCCCTGACCCAGAAGAACCTGAAGGATGCTTTTGATTCAGCCATCCTGGCCAGCATCCAGCAGGCAGGCGGCAGCAGCATCCAGCAGCAGAGGGCAACTCTGAGGAAGAAGACACCTGATAAGATGAAGAGCCTGTCAGAGACCTGGTGGAAGAAGATCAACTGCCTGGTAGGAGAACAGAGCTGCGACTTAAATGAACAGCTGCACGATTGCACACCTGGATCAGATCCTGTTTGCAAATACCTGCTCAATTTGGTTTAGTCTGCTGAGAGAAGGCGTCAGATGGGTGGAGGTCATCATCACACAGAAAGGGAGGAAGGAAGCAGCATGTTTTGACTCCTAGGTCACATCCTCACACTCCTCACTTTTAGGGGCACTCCTCTGATTTCACACATGAAGACCAGTTTACTTGTCACACAGAGAAATAGGCAGCTCATGAAAAGCTGCTGAAAGACAGATCAGCTCCCTGGTGTAACAGTGGTGTTTATAACAGAAAGCCTTGTTACAAACTGGGATTGTAGAGACATGGTTCTCACTCGTGTGTATTGGAACTCTTATCGCTACCCGTACCTTGTTAGTTTGAAGATCATTTATCTATTTCTGTATTTATTGATGGTTACTTTCATTGCCATCACTGATCATGGGATATGCTCAGAACCCTTGATTAAAGTTTAGAACAACTGTTTGATATCTGTTACTGTAACAAACAAACATTTCAGGGATTTCCGGGGTGAAAATCAAATACCAGTGAGATATTTGTTCACAAAACAGCAAAAGTTCAGTGGGAGGGACACAGGAAACCTCCTTTTATTTATTACCATGCAAACACTTCACCTGCTTGTCAACTTCCTGGATGGACTTGTCCAACAACTTCTGCTTTTTATTGGTCAATTAACAAAAGCAGGACATGTTGGAGGGTTAATAGGGCTCAAGTGCTGTCAGTTGTCTCGTTAGCCCTCTAATCCACCAGACCAACTGACTCAGCCCAACCACAGAGTTACATACAGTGCATGAAGACATGCACTCTGCACCTCCGTCATCTCCATGTCAGAGGTCCATCATGGACATGTCACTTAGAGCTGGAACGTGACCAGGGTGAATTACCCAGAATCTCCAAACTCCAGATTTTGCTCCGGTCCAGAGTTGGCCTGGTGCAGCCTCCTCTAATAGGAGCAGACAGGACCACCTGGACTAGATTAGACCAGCAGATGGAGCCTGATTCTCTGTCACACCTCCAGCAGAGAGGCACATTTCTCCTCTCTCCATGGTTTATCTACTTCAAATGTGCAGCCAGGAAGTAAGGGAAGCTCATTTATAGCACAAATAGCTATACACAGATTTGTTTCCACCAGTTAGGAGAACTACAATTAACTACACACATTCCGGGAAACCTGCCTTAACCCTGTAAAGCCTGACACATAAAAAAGAAA